TCGAGGCTTACATTTTTTAATTGATGGGGTTCTTGATTAAGAACTGGTCTAGAGGAGAAGGAAGACCAAATAAGCCAACATTCAAGATCTAATGCACAGGGAGCTTGGCTGGAACACAGATGATAAGCATGTACTTCAACAGGGAAGGAAAAAGAAGCAGGATGCAGGGAAGGCTTCCTAGAGGAGGTGACAGGCTGAGCTGCTAAGGTATGTTTGGTGAGGGGAGAAGGGAAGAGGGAAGGCTGTTTCAGGCAGGCTAAACAACACATGGAAAGTCAAGGTATACAGTGAATGGATTTTGAAAACTAAAATAATTTGCTCCAATTTGAAGTGTCAGTGTATGTGAGGGAACTGCAGGAGGTCGGGCCAGAAGGCTTATACTGAGATCCAATCATGAAGCCCATTGAAAAGGAAGCTTATTCTGATGGTGAAGGTTGGTGCTGAGGGGGATTCCAGCAGAAGAGAGGTCATGGATGGTGTTCCCAACTTGACCTTCTAGCTGCCTCTGTTGACAGTTATCTGGGTCCTAGAGGAAAAGGATTTCAATAGTGGGAGCTGATGGACCCTCAAAAAAGGGGCTTTTGAAGGGAGAGAAAATGTTCAACACTGGCATTGCTGTGTGAGCATCAGTTATGCCTAAGGACGCATCTCTGGGCTAAAAGGCTCTTTTTCGAGCAGTGTTGCCTTAGTGAACCCATTACAATCAACAGCAACAAGAGTTATCCCCTGATTGAGCTCAAGTTGAAAAGGAGGAAAATGGCAGACACCAGAGCCACAAAGGGGACAGCATGTGGAGTCTACTGAGCTGCCCCGGCAGACTCTAAAAACCATCACAGGAGGGCCTTGCAAAGTCTTTGGTGTTTCTTCATGTAAGGAGAGATTGTACTTGTCTTATTCAAATTGTATCCCTCATATCTTGCCCAGTGGGACAGGCTACAGGGTTGCACAAATCCTGGGGCCACTGTCCATACAGTTTCCTGGATCAGTAACACTGAGTTGTGCCATAGGAGACTTGCATAGATGTTCAGTCCAGATATGTTGAAGGAACAAATGAAATACTGATTGGTTGGCTGCTCTTATGACCTTACTTAAACCTCACTGGGCTGGCCAAATCCCAGCAGATTTGGGTCTAGAGCTATTAGCTGGGTGGCAGTGTGGCAGATTGCAGAAGCAGAAGCAGAATAAATCTGGGATGGTCGGTTAGAACTGTAGTCCTTGGCTGGGTATTTCACACGTTAGTTCTGGAGAAATCCTGTAAGGAACTGGAAATAAAATGCCATAGCTATGCATGTAGTCAGTAAGGCAGAAGCAGCCAGGCAGAGAGCTAAGGGGCAATGCCCATGAGGACTGGTCACTGGTGGTATCCAACTAGAGAACCCCTGTTACTCTTCCTCAGGCCAACACTTAATTCTAGGTAGAATGAGACTGGGGACCAAAACCAGAATTATTCTCCAAAGAACAGATAAGACTGATTCATTTCTGAGCTGGAATAAAATCAGTACAAAGAACTTGAAGATGTGGTTGCATAAAAATTAAACAAGAAAATCTGGAATAGATGTTGGCCTCCTTGGAAGAAGGTAGGCCCTAATTTAAGTATCTGGTCAAGGCAAAGGTTGTGGGTGGCAAGAGCTAGGGAGCATCAGACATTCTTATAAGTGGCCATAGACTGGCATGAGCTGAATAAGACCTGGATTCCTGATCTGCTGTCTCTATACTGGTAGCAGTAGAAGGAATACCTCAAGAACACAAGAGCCAGTTTACATGTAGTAAATTGAAAAGAAACTTAAGAAGGACCTGGGGAGTGACCCAGAAAACCTGAGAAAGCAGGTTGAAGTTGAAGGCAGTATGGAAAGTTAAATTCAAAACAGAATCCAGTGTTCATACACATCCTCTCATAGTGCTAACAGATGTCCATGCAGGGCACAGGAAGTGCACGGTTTTGATTACAGTGTATCTCTAAATTAACTGAGTCCTGTATGTGGAAGCCAGACAATTTCACAAAGCAGAATCCCTTTATGGTTTTGATTGGCTCCATAAGACCAATGTATTCACACTTTCCTGACAGTTGCCCCCCCCATCAGCAATGGACATGCTGGATTTTAAGAGACTGCTCCTGGATCCCAAATCATTTGTAATGCTAAACAGCAAGCTAAGGAGCCACTATATTTCCATTCTTTGTCTGGGCCTACACGTTGGGAGGCACAGTGCCCTGGGGAGAGGCAAATGGTTTCCAAGAAAAGGGTCTAAAACCCAGAGAATGCTTGTACTCCACAGCCACTATCAGATCCTTCTGTCTCTATAGTGGTCTCTCACTGTCCCTTTTCTTTGAAACATTTTTACTCTCCATATCAGGCAGACAGGCATGTTTTTTGTAGGTATAGCGGTATACCAGCCATCACTATTCTCTTTGATAGAATAGGTTGAAGTGTTTGTTCTATATATTTCTATAGCCTGCTATTGACTTTTTCTGAAGGGAGACCATTGAAAAAACATTTTAAAATAAAAGTACATAATGGTAAGCATACCATACTAAAGGATTTTTTTTAAAGTTTGCCTTTGGTTACTATCTCTGTCCTTTTATTGTCTTTTGATGCCTTACTGAATGTACTACAAATGCAGAGAGGAAACAGGAGGGCTGTGTGTACCTGAGAAGTTACTCCATGCTTCTGGCTTCAGTTTACCAAATCTTCAAAATCAGTGGGTATGATTGTCAGAGTATCTTCCAGATCTAGAAGACCATGATTATGTATCCAATATAAAGACCAGAAAGGCCTAGCATGTGCATAATTTTTTAAAAAATCATATGACCACAATGTCATATAAACGGAGCTTCAGTTTATGCATGAAGACTTGGTAGTGGGTTATTTCATGCAAAATAAACTGAGTCTTTATAAAATACTAATAATTGCTCAAGATAAAGAAAAAATTTAAATCTTAAAATCTTTATTCATTAAAAAAATTATTTCGGCTTGTTTCATTTAAAAACTTCTATGTATTTAATTTGGCCTATCAACATTTTATTTTTAGTAATACTGAAACTGATAGTAGGTAGTGGAGACTTAGGCATTTGTGAAATCCAGTTCCCTTACTTCCTTCATTTTTGACCTACACATTTGTGGCACTATCTCTGTACTCTCTTGCCTGAACTACCTCTGTTCCTCTCCACACTCTCTCTGGAGCCAGTAATTCCACATAGCTTTTCCTCTGGAAGACAGCGTTGCAACTTCTCCAAAGCTCTCAGTGCTTCCTAGATGCTGCGTGGTGGGGGGTGCCTATCACTTATCTCTAGGGGGAAGCTGCTTTGGCACCATTTGGCGTGAAGTTTTTGCATTACATTTCCCTGTCCTGTTGCGTGTGTGTCTGCCAGATATTCTGCCTGCTCTCAGCTGAAGGCCTTGGGCTGGGCAGCTGAACACACTGCACTGTTGCCAAAATTCTAATTCAAGGTCTAGAATTCTAACTCCTGCTCTTTAGACCCTTGTCTGGCCCAAGCTCCAGTCTCTCCCACCAGCCGGGTCTCTGGTTCATTATCAGGCCACCCTGGCCCTGCCCCCATGCCCAAATGGGCCCAGGAAATCATTCTTGGCACCAAACTGAACTTCAGCAACACAATGCCATGGGTGAGGGAGTGTATCATTCCTATTTGCTGTGACTGTCAGATTGTAAAACTTTTTGTGGTGCCTTTACTCTAAATACTCAATGAAAAGCCTTAACAATCCTGTTATTAGAAATGAATATGGTTTATGGAAAGGGAAATATATTTCTCTTATGTAGCTGCAGCAGAGGGTAAGTGAAACTTGTTCTTAGTAAAAATGCTAAATGCAGCATATGTGCATTAATTTAAAAAATGTACTTTTGGATCATAAACTGATAATGTGTAGTGTTTCTTAGGCACTAAAAGTGCCTTTTGAGGGAACACACACTTCACAGGTAAAAACATGAGTGCAATCGGGGTGGCAGTGGGGACAGAGATAATTGATTCTTAGCAAAAATGCTGGTTTTCTGGTAAGCTATCAAATTTAACTCAAATGCATAAGTGGTCAACATTATGGTTTAAAGGCTTACAGGATGGTGTAATCTTGACTGACTGGAGGAATCTCTTCTCTTTTGAATGAAGAATAAATTTGTTTTTATTTATTGACCCTTAACCCTATTTTCACTCCTTGCCTTAACCAATGCACAGTCCTTTCTGCTGAGGCAGTCTTCTTGCTCCCACGGAGACAGATGGGCTCATTTCCAGACCTGAAAAATGGGGCAGTGAGGTGCTGTAATTTGGGGAAATGAAATCATTTTAGTTTTTGTTTTCCCAAAAAAACCAGGGAGCATAACAAACGTGCTACATATGTAAAACATAGGCAAATGCACTTGACAATCTTTCTCTTTTGAAATTTAAGTAAAGCTAAGACTGACTTCTGGCCTAGAGGGAAACTTCATTAAAATCAATTACTTAGTACAAACCTCCAGAGAACAGTGTTTTTCTTTTCTTTTTAAAGAAGGTTTAAAGGTGCACACAATTACCTTTCCTGGGTCCCCTGTGAATGTGTCACACCTAGGCAGATGGCCAAGTGCAAACAAATGTCCCTGAGAGGGGCCTGGGTAACTCCCCGAGTTCTCATCCCTGCGTGCATGTGTAATTAATGCAAGTGTATGTATCAAGACTGGAATACACACAACCAAGGAGGCTCCAAAGCGATTGCAACCGTTACCAACTGTGTAAGGCAGGCCGAGTGAGAGAAAGTTGGTGGCAGGCGCTCCCAGGTGAGGCCTCGGTCCAGGAGCAGAGGCTGGGGCCGCACAGCTGCCGCCACACGCCCTGGTCCCTCCTCCCAGATGCGACGGCCTCCCCCCCCACCCTCCCCCCGCCGCCGCCGCCGCCGCCGCCGCCGCCGCCTCCCCTCGGCCTCCCGGTCTCTCCCCGCTCTCCTCGCATCGCTCTCGCCCCCTCTCCCTCCGTCCCGTCCTCTCCGCTCCCCTCACCCCGCCTCTCTCCCCCTCCTCCGGCCCCTCCTCTCCTCACCCCACCCTCCCTCCCTTCCTCCGCCCGCTGGCCCGGCGCTCGCAGTGCCGACTCCAGGGGGGCTCTCGATGTAGCACCATGACAGGCATCGCCGCCGCCTCCTTCTTCTCCAATACCTGCCGATTCGGGGGCTGCGGGCTCCACTTCCCCACCCTGGCCGACCTCATCGAGCATATCGAGGACAACCACATCGGTAAATGGCCTGGGGATGAGTGGGGGTGCCCGGTGCGCGGAAACTCTTGCCCAGGCGAGAACCCCAGAATGTCCAGGGGTGGCCAGGAGGGAGGAAGGCGGCGGCGGGGCGGGGAGGCTGTGTAAAAGCCCGGGGCGTGGGGGTGGCGGGATGCGGCGGCGCGAGGTGCTGAGGTGGGGGCGGTTGCAGGGTGTGGGTGGGGGAGGGGGGCGCCCCGAGGTGCGGCGGGCCGGTAGGCTGGCTGGGGGAGTCCGGGGGCGCGCGCGCCGGCTGCTAAGTGGTGGGAGTGGGGGTGCGCCGCGGCGGGGGCGGTAGGGGGCGGCACCGGGCGTAGGGAGATGCGGCGGCGGCCGGGCCGCCGGGGGACGGGGCGCCGAGCGGAGGGCGCGGCGGGGTCGAGCGGCAGGCCGGAGGGCCGGCGCTGGTCAGGGGCGCAGAGTTAGTTGGCGCCGGTGGTCCGAGCGGCTCAAGGCGCCGGGGGCGGCGGGGGGCGGGCGCTGCACGCCGCCCGCCGCTTCCGCCCGGGCTCGAGCTGTCAGGGCTCGGCGGCGGCTGCAGCCGCTGGGAGGAGGGTGGGGGAGCGGGGGTGGCTCCACCGCGGCAGCCATTCCGCTTCCTCCTCCCGCCGTCGCCGCCACTGCGTCCTGTCAGCGCCGGTTGCTAGGTGTGGTGCGTCGGGAGGGGGCGGGAGCCGGCGGCCACGGGCCGAGCACTGGGCGCTCGCCTTCTCCCCCGGCGGCGGTAGAGCTCGCCCAGCCAAGCCGGAGACGCTGGCCCTGGGGCCCTTCTCACCCGCCCCTGTCCCGGCCTGGCGCGGACGCCGGGGCGCTGCGGGCTGAGGTCCCGGGTGCTCCCGCAGGCCGCGCCCAGCACCCGAGCCCGGCTGCCCCGAAGGCCGCTGCGTCTGAGTCCTCTGGAGAGCAGTCCCCAGAGGCTCGCGGCCAGGCGTTCAGTGTGTCCCGGCTCTGAGCTATGCTTTTCAAAGGGTTCTAGGCCCGAGGTGCTCTGGACGCGCCCGGGATCCGCTGCGGCAGCGTGCGCAGCGCCCCGGGCGTGGGGGGACTCTGGCGGTGGGGGAGGGAGCGCCTCGCCGGGCAGCTGCTATCCCTTCCTGCCCAGGACCCCTGAGTCTTTCAACAAGTCCTTTAATTCGCTGAAGTCCTTGCATACATTTACATGCTCTTGTCCTGAGCTCCTGCGCGGGGCATGGGTTGGGTTCATCTGGCTCAGGCCAGCCAGCCACCTGCGAGAGGTGTGGCCGGTACCCGCGAGCTGTCCCTAAGTGTGTGGAAGGTGAAGGGACCTCATGATGCCCCGGTGTGGCTGTCTACTCTAGAGAACCTGTAAATTGCCCTAGAAAGTCATTTCCAAATGAATGCTATAGATTCAGCCATGTGGATGCAGCTCACGTTTCTACGAAGTTGAAAGAATAAATCACGACTGCTGTGTATTTATGCACGAATAAAATGAGGCCCGGCCTTATTCTCCTTTGCTTAGTATAATGCTATCTTTTTGCACACAGTGGGTTTTTAATCACTGAATGCCAGTTTAGAATGTTTCATGGGGCATCCAAAATGGGAAGTAGTCATTGAAAATGTCTACAGACTGTCTTTCAAAAGGTAATCCTGATGAGTAAAATTGTCCAGGTTTTGAAACTTAAAGTTTTAAGACATCTGTCTAATAGCTTCTGCCATCTCCTCTGATAAGAGTGTAACAGAAGAGCTAGGCAAGGTTTGGTAGTCTTTAAAGCAGGAGTTTAATGGGGTAACAGAGTTGCTGATTCATATCACGATTGAATAATCATAACTGAAGGTGCTTAAAGAATTTTTCATGATGGATAGTTCAAAGTAATACTAAAACACGAGTAATATAAAGTTTCAATAGAAATTTTGTTCAAGCTCCTTCCCTTTCAATGATAAATAGAAAATAATAAATGGAAATAAACATAAATAATATTTCCTGACCTAAGTATGTCTGCATATCCCATTCACTCTCACTAACAGTTATTTCAGGATAAGCTATAGTTAATGTAAGGTAGCAGAAATCATTTTCCTACATTGTCTGCCTACTTGGACTACCTAGTTAAAAGGAAATATAAATTATATTTATTGAAATGTGTTAAAGATGGTTATCCTCCTTGATAATTTAGTTTCTAATCAGATGATTTAAAAGTAACTTGGTGAATCCAAAGAGTTTTTTAAGTTTGCAGAAATTGTCTTTGGTGTTGTGCAAATATTTTAGGAGGGTTAAGGGTTCCATAAATTTTTTAAAACTCAACTTTTAAGTAATGGTTATTCCCAAAGGGCTAGTGTTTTTTTCTCACTGAAAAATATTGAAAAATTACATTTATAACAATAGTTGTGGCTAGGCAAACTGTGTGGCCAAGTTAACAGTGATTATGCTTTGGAATTAGTTTGAAACCGGCAAACTTTATGGAAGGTACGTGCTAAAATAAACACTTGAAATTCTCAAGATGGAGACAAACCTCAACTACTATGTACCTCAGCTGAGGAGAAGCCCCTTACTTTCAAAGACAGCCCCATATGCAAAAAGAAGTTTTAAGAATTGACCTCAAGAAGAATAAAAACACCTGAAGAGTAGGGAAGGTCATGTAAGTGCGCTTTTGATAAAGAGCATGAGTGAAACTATATCAGACAAAACATTTAGTGAAAATACATGTGTTGTTAAGTGATATTATTGTTTGTGTTTTAGTTATAAATTTTTGGAGACAGATGGTTATTTTTAATAACTGACAACTGATTTCTTGTTCTTATTAAGTGGCCACATTAAAAAGCTGCATGGAGAGACTACCGAGAGATTTATGTTAATACTTAATTTTTTTAAGTAGTTTGTTATTTAGCAATCATAAGGATATTAGATGTATGCCTAGGCGGAACTTCCATCTTGGGGACCTTCCTTAGTTATTATCATTAATCAGCTACTAGTCAAAACCTCAAGCAGTAATGAAATGAAGGTTTATATGAACATGGTGTGTTTCTTGCTTGTCAGATTTTTCAAGGCCTTTAGTGCACAAGGCCCATAGTTTTCACTGTAACTGTGTTATTTACAGTGTTCAGATTAATTAAATGCTTTAAGTGAGAGCACCTATCTCTGTTACTTATATGTGCATGCTTAGCTCTTGTTTTTTACCACTTTCCTAGACACACAAGGTACAATATTTGGGGCTGCAGAGCCAAGGGAAGTGTGGTTTTCACTGTCTACTGTTTTAGCTATCTTCTATTCTGATTTTCTTACTTGCATTTAATCCGTGGTCTAGTACTGGAGCACCTGTTGCTGTGTACAACCCAGTATCCCAGCTAAAACATTTTACCCACCCTAAATTGCCTAGAAATCCCACAGTCCTGCAACCATCAAGTGTTTCTCTGTCAGCTTTGCTATCCATTCATCCATTCATACCCTGGCTGTTTCCTGGAGATCGGAAATGCTGATTAGGATTTGTTTGTTTTTTACTGTGAGTTGAGTTTGTAGAAACACCTATGCACATCCTCGGTAGGTGAAATTACACTGACACTAGAAATCATAGAAACACCTGGAACACTAAATTTAACACTGAATGGTTATGGCACAGACTCATGAAATTCCTGCTCTGTCCATGCATCCCAGTGCTGTGATATCTTTTGGCTTTTGGTCTCAGAAAGACAACTATTTAATCATTTTTATCAGATCTGATTATTTGGTGCATTTATAAAAGTCCCTCTGCATTTTTAATTATTTATAAAAATATATAGACCACCCACCTATTTTGTGCTAAGCACAGTTTTAGACACTTGGGGTTTTTTTTTTTTTTTGGTGAATAAGCAAAGATCCCACCCTTTGGGGAGTTTCTGTTCTAGAGGGGAGGTAGACAATAAACAATGAGCAAAAGAAGTAAACAACATAGTATGTTGGAAGGAGGTTAGCGTTAATGAAAAGTGAATGATCAGAGCAGGCTAAGGTGGATTGGGAGGAGGAAGTGTTGGAATTTTAATTGGTTGGTCAGGATAGATGTCACTGAAAAGCTGATAGGTAGGCCAGAACATAAGTGAGGGAGTAGTTACAAAGATACACTGGGAACTCCAAGGTCCAGGCGGAGGCATGCAAAGGCCCCAAGGCAGACCATACCTCTTAAACTGAAACACAGATCTGGCCCAATTCAGTTATTCTTGGTGCCAAACTAGCAAGTCATTTAGAACTTCCTCAGATGTTAGAGCTTCAGCTTTGCTGTTGTTGATTCAAACTGTCCTGTAGGGGCTCCACTAGGATATGGAGTATTGCTGACTAATTACAGTAGCTTCGACTTGGTGGTTCTCCATCCTGAATGGCAGCAGGTTGCTCCTTGTTAGTTTCCTCATCTCCAAAACTCAGGCAATTTATCCATGCTATTTCATTTCAGAGGGTAGGTATGTACAGCATCTAATTAACAAAGGTCAAAAAGTCTCTGCAAAGAAAAATAGAGTAGTTATTAGACTATCAATAATGTAGAATTTGGCTCCAGTGATAGTTTAGTAAGCATTTGCATTACTATCTTATAGCACAACATAGTATACTAAATAGATTAATGTATGTCCCATATGTAGTAGACCCTTATTATCCTTACTTTATAGGCAAACTGAGGCTCAGAAAGGTTACATAACTTGCCTAAGTGTCCTTAGCTAGTAAGTGTGAGCTGGAGTTTAAATTTCAGACAGGCATGGAGAACTGGGCCCGTGCTGGATTGCCAGTAGATAAAGAACACAGTATATTCCCTACTCCCTCTCCAGACACAGTCTGTGTAGAAAGTAACTAAACTCTTGAGATGAGGACCATTCGAGAGGTAATAGTGAATCCAGCCTGCTTGGGTTTGAGTATACACTCCTGCTACTTGTTGAATGTTTGTGGACTAATGGCTTGACCACGCTGTGCTTTGGTTTCCTCCCCTGTGTAATGGGGACATTGATAGCACCTGCCTCATGGAATGGCTGATGAGGCTCAGGGGAGCTCATATATGTCAAGTACACATC